CAATGTTCTCACCTCTCACCACCCACAACGGATCTGTCATGAACGATCCTTCTACCAGCGTCTGGATCTCAATATTGCGCCATCCGCTCCACCACAGATAGTCCCCAACCATTTTCAGCCTCTCGTCCTCGTCGATCTTCAGCCACCTTCCAACCACTTTGGTAGGAAAGCACCGATTGGAAATGACCAGATGCACCGTGCCTCCCCGATGGGTCTGTTGTCGAATACTGCCCAGAACATCAACTGGCTTTGTGAGGTAGTCGATGGACACGACACATGTCGACGCGTCCAGCTTTCCCTCAGTTGGCCCAGGTAGGTGTACCTGTGGATCCTCGTTGAGATCTTGCACAGTCCAATGTGTCAATACAGGATTTTTGCTCAGCTCAGCACGGTTCATGCCTGTCCCTAGTACCTCAAGTTCTCCTGACGATGCTGCTTGGGTGACCTCAGCCGGATAATGGGAGATCCAACTGGAACAAAAGTCCAGTATACGTCCTTTGCGAGGCAGGACCTGCGCATAATAGCTGCGCACATTGTTGATGGCATTTCCGTCGATATGGGTTACAAAGCGCGGGGCAGCATAAAAGTTGGAATCATTCCCTGCCTCCATAGGGGTGAGGTCTTCCTGGGAATAAGGAAAGGGTCCTTCAGGATTCAAAGGCACATAGCGCCTTGGTGCTATAGGGCTCGAATCCATTTTCCTCGTGGCTGCAATCAATCCTGAGAACAGGGACATCGACCGAAAATTGATTCTGATGGCGGCAGGAGACATGGGATTTCTCTGCTGATGTTAGAGACAGAGCAACGATGGCTTGTTCTGACCCTGACATTGATTCGGTCTAGAAATCCATCAAGAGGAAGCCGCCAATGACGTCTTTGACTGCCGACCAACCCTGAAGCGGAAGATTGTTTGGGACGGACAAACTGCGCCGCCATCAATGAGACACAAAGCACAAAGCATCGCAGCAGACGGGCACCTGAAGTTGACCCCTTGGGATGCAACCTAGTATTGTCCTTGAGCCATCCAGCAGAATCACAGCCTTGGGACACAAGTGTGAAGGATACATGCTCATGGAGGAATGGGCAAAATGGGGTACGTCAGAACTCAACATGGTGCCAGCAGTGCCACCGCGACTTTACGCGTCCTAGCGTGTTGACAGATAGCCATGTTACACCTGATCTTTGTCGCTACAAAATGGTAACTTCGGGTACATTATCCCTCCATCAAACGGTGCTGGGCAAGTACTGAAGCACAATGGTGTACAAGGCTACAAAAGACCCTCGAAACCCTGCAAATCGCTGTCCTGCGTCATGGGCAACACCACGGAGTGATGTGCCGGCCACTGAAGAAACTCAATTCACCGTGTCGGCATGCCTTCCTCTGGACTGTGGATGATAGCAATGAGATACCGATGATGTGGCCTGCTGTCATTCACATATCGCTCCATTTCTCTTCGTCTTGCAGGAAACGGTTGAAAACACAAGGTCCATTGACTAAAAATCCGACAATACCTAGGTAGCCAATTCTTCGACACTATTCCCAGCCAGCTAAGAGCCTATGCTACAGTGATCGGCTATCTTTCCCCCCTCTCTACTTGCAAAGGGACAATATGCTGGAAGGACAGTCTAGAATCGTGATAAGCGGCGCCGGTCAAGGTACAATTCCCTGTTCATCTTCGGCTGCTCGGCTTGAAATTGGGTTGACCTTGATCTAGGCATCGGGAGAGCAATGGCCCGTCATTTTGCATCTCGTGGCCATAAAATCTTCATCATTGACCTCAACGAAGACAATATCCGACACACCGCTGAGGAGCATTTGAAAGAACACTCGGACCGTGTGGGGTGGTCTAAATGCGATCTTCGGAGCGTCGAAGATATCCGCTCCACGGTCCAGAAAGCAGTCAAGTTTCTCGACAACCGTATCGACTTTTTGATCAACAACGCAGGCATCTCCAATCCTTACTGGCCCGACGGGAAGACCATGGCAGACGAATCAGTTCTGGATAAGTGGCAGGCATATGTCGAGACCAACCTCACAGGCCCCTTCGTCATGTCTCAAGCATGTATTCCTTTCATGAAAGTCGAACAGCAAGAGGACAAGAAAAAACTTCCCGGTTCCAAGGTTGGCAGTGCAGGACCCTGTATCATCCATGTCAGTAGCTTCCGCGCCTTGATCTCAGACCCTAACCAGGAAGGCTACGCTTCGACCAAAGGTAACGTGAAATTCCACCATTCCTCCTTCGTGCACAATATCCTGAAAACTAATGACTGACGCGTCCACACAGCCGGGCTGCTCGGGCTTACCCAGAGTATGGCCGTTTCCCTTCAGACCTTCGGCATTCGAGTCAATATGGTCTCACCAGGGCGGATCAAGGTAACGCATGAGAATCCTGAAGCCGACGAGCAGGGAAAGGACTGGTCCGTGGAAGAAGACGATGTCAATGTACACCCCACCAATCGACCCGGGTTGCCAGAGGATATTACTGAGGCGTGTGAATACCTGATGGGCGCGGGATTTGTGACGGGCCAGAATTTAATTGTCGATGGTGGTGTGAGCAAGGTAAAGGGCAAGGCGTGAAGACCTCATCCTTGTAAGTACGGCAAGGATGCCAGGACCAATGACTCCCATATCACAACAACAAGGAAAAGGTGCTATGTAGGATGATGAGCATGGTTACAATCATTACAGGCAACTTCCCGAGAGCGCTTCTGTAATCGATGGGATTTGTTCTCAAGGTAGCACATCTAGCGCATTGACCATGATCCCTCAAAGACAGACATGCCGGGAGGCTGCAGGCAAACACGGATCAATATAGGACCGTGTGGTATTGGGGTTGGACGGCCTCGGAATGAAAAGAAGCCGAGCTCAATCAGGGAATGGCTGCTCGTTTGTAAAGCCGAAGGACTCGTCTATTGCTTACCCAACCACAAGATCGAGACCATTCGGTGCCGTAATCCCCTCTCGATGGTATGAATTCTTGGTGCCACTATCATCCCCGGATTTCGAATACGATGCCCCAGGGTCAGTCGCCAAAGTATTTTATTGGTTAAACCAGGTGCCAGCTGACCTCATTGCTCACAGGCTGAATTGCAAGGTCAACAAGGATCGACCTTTTATAAATAGGGATGCTGAGAAATATAGGATGAGAAAGAGATGGGAAGTTGTCCTCAGTATCGATGCTTGTCCGATACTATTCTACCCGGATCACCTCTGTGTCGCCATTGACATTGACCAAACTGCGCCCTGCCTCAACAACATCTCCGTGGCGTCAATTGCCAACACGACGGACTATGGCTACGGCATCTCACATCGAGTTGAATCCTGCCCACGCAGGAGTCTACCATACCCCAGATATAACAACAGCATCCGGCAAAATTGGAAGCCAGCTTCTTCAGGAAAATCACGACAACTACCACATCTACTTCAACAATAGTGGCTTCCACAACCACATCGTTCACCATCTCTTAACCATCTACGCCCTGGGAGCCTCTCCCGAAGAGATCCAGAAGGCCTTTGATATTAACAAGTCTTATCAGAGACCCCAGTATCCGGTGAACCAAGGGGAAGTCGAGATCCTTGCAGACCAGGACAAATTCAAGGGGTTCTTGGGCAAGGAGAAATATTTCCATGACTTTGAGGTCTTCTTCCAAAACGAGGTTGAGCAGAAGGGCTGGGAGAATGTCATCAACGAGCACGTCTTTGCGCGGAATGAACACGCTGAGAGGATGCTTGTCAGAATGTTCGCCGGTGAGTTGCACATTAGTCGATCAGGAGATTAGTACTGACGACTTCCAGGCTTCTTGCATCCCTTGATCCACCTTGGGTTTGGCGTCGAGTTCAAGCAGCCAGCCATCATCGTTGAAGCGCTTGCTCAGGCAGCAGTACACGATGGGTGGACCGGGGAATTCCTTCACGCCGCCGAGGACGCTGCGAAAGGGAATACTACGTCGAAAAGCTTGGTGCAGCTTCTTCACGAGGCCCGTGCAAATGAACAGCTCCGCAAATCAGCCCACTGGGAGGATGGCAACAAAGTCCGAGATGGTGTCTTGCGCCGTGCGCCCGATGAAATGATATCACTGGCGTCTCAGTGGCACGTCAGACCTGATGAGCTGGAGCAAAAGACAGCCGAAATGATCAATGCGGCCGTTTATTTCACAGGCGCAGCACAGAAGCCCACCAAGCAGGTCAAGTTCGACTTCTTCTACATGCACTGCGTCAACTCGTCCATCTTCTTCTCGGCATTCTTGAAGGAACCCTGGCTGAAGACGGAGGACAAGTGCAGGCTGCTAGAGTGGAAGGGCCGACTAGATCTTGCATTGTACGTGTCGCGAGGATGTCCGGAATTGTTGATCGACGAAATCAAGAACTATCGACCGAAGAAATCGAGCGACGGATGGACAGAGATTATACGTCGAGTGGACAGATTTCCCGACGACGGACATGCCAGTAAACTTGTCCGCGCCATCGCAAACAGCGAGCAAGTTTCCAAGCAGTACGAGAGCCAGGGGGACGACGTCTTTCCTATCAAAGGAGACATGTTCTTGAAGCTTGCCCACATGGCAATTGACTCGGTCGAAGCGAGTGAACCCACCTGGGTGAGATCTACGGGCTTTGACCAGGCGTGGGAGAAAGTGCCAGCCCGGGCGAAGCTGTAACTCCTTAGAATTTTGAAGCTTGTGCCTCTGTGTACCGAGTGCACTTGTGAATGTATCATTACTGTCTCCTCCCTCGCCTTGAACTTCCATTGAGTTCGACGGCCAATGTAGAAGCCGAACGAACACGCGTGATTTGAAGCCAATCATTGCAGACTCCACTGTCCATGGTGAGACCGACAACTTCCCCGCGTCAAGCAGTCATCGTCATCCTCGTCGTGCCACTCCAGGCATCAACGACCTCGACTTTAGTTCGGTTCATCACGGCCTGAGAAGTGTTTGTTCCTGTTTCATCCCGCCTGGCCTCAACCCCTCGAACCATTCTCAAAGTACCACTGCACGCAAAGATGCCAGACGACAAGAAACCCGCCGACAACACTATGGCCCCTCCTCCCATGGACCCCTTCCCCACCTATCAGACTCCTTATCCTCGCCCCCCAAACAGAGACGACGAGAACCCATTCATCCTCTTCCGTCGCTTTGCCGACGAACAGTTCTCATCATTCTTCTCCGGTTTCCCACATCTGTTTGGCCTCTCTTCCTCCGGCCGCGGTGATCGCTTGAAGCAGGAAGTCGACGACTGATGCGGCAGAGACAGGAGTGGGAGGAAGGCTTCCGGAAGCAGTTTGAGCAAGAGATGGAGGAGATGAGACAGCAGTTGGAAAAGTCCAAGAATGAAGCCTGGAGGTCGATGGAGGACGCGTGGAGACAGCACTCGATGGAGAGTAGTCGCAGTGATACAACCGATAATACACCCTGGTGGACTCGGGGCAGGGCCGCCCGATGTCCAGCCTTGAACGGTCAAGAGGTCCAAAAGAATGCAGAAAAGTGTCCCGCTCTCTATGATGAGGCGGGACAGCCGAGGACGGAATTGGATGCCTACAATGCACTACCGCGGAGAGAGAATGACACACCAAAGCATGTGTTCGAGGCACCGGCTCACTCGTCGACCGAGAAGAATCCTTCCAGATCTTGGTTCTCTGCGCTTGGTTGGGACGGCAAGCAGAAGGAGAAGTATTTAACCACCAACGACGACGACGCTGGCGATACCAAAGACAGTGCTCCGAGTGAGAAGGTTGTGTCTCCGCCCACGACATATTCGTTCTGGGCCGCCCGCAGGATGCAACCGTTCGAGAACACAGACGAGACAATCCCCTGGCTCATGCTCAGTCCGTACTCCCCAATTTACCTCTGCAACCCAAGACAACCACGACTTTTCAAAGTCAAGATGCAAGACTCGGAAGGCGTGCCATTCCATATCTCGGACGCCAAGTTCTTTGATAGATGGTACACGAGTGTGGACGAGAAGATGGCAAGACATAAACCCTGGGCTGACGCGTTTGAGGACTTGTTGAGCCTTCAGCAAACAGGAAAGATGGTGGACAGGGACAACTGGAATACTTGGCGGACCCCCAAGACTTGGATACACGACATGGTAAGCAGGGGCAGCTTTGGCAGTAGATGGGGCTTTAGCGAGCAAGGGATGCTGGTCAAGCGGGCGATCGACCCGAAGTCAACGGCTGCAGCGGTATCTGCGCCAAATGTGGAAGACCGTTGTGCCAGGTGGCGCCGGAATCGTCAGTGTCGATACAACAAGACCACAGAAGAACCCACGCAGCCAGGAGAGCCATCGGAGGAGAGGAATCCTGCATCCAGCATTCCCATTGCTGCTGTCACTGAGGTAGCAGCTCCAGCCAACAATGAAGCTACACAGGAAGACTTTGAGTCAGCTGCTGTAGATTCTGTCACTCAGGAAGAGGGGGTTTCTCATCTTCCTACGACATCGTCTCCATCGACTTACTCGTACGACGCGGCCATTTCATCCTCCACCAACAGTACTGATGTGCCCTCTGACAAGTCTGTGGTCGCAACTCTTACGACGATCCACACACGTACGTTGCCTGATGGCTCCGTCGAGTCCAGACGGATCTTGAAACGACGATTCTCAGATGGGACAGAAGAGACTAATGACGAAGTTTCGGTGACGAATATTTCCAACTCGAGCGAACTAGGCAACACAGAGGACAAAGCGACACAAACTCTCCTCGCATCTGAATCGACCCAGTCACAATCATTCAAAGGCGAAGATCCAAGAGGACGCCAGAAAGATGCATATGGCTTTTACCGAGATCAATCACTTTTTGATGAGCCCGAAAAGAATGAGGAACTTCAACGACACCAAGATCAAGAGTCCACAGGGCCGAAACGTTTTCCTCGAAGGATACCAATTTTGACAGCCGAGACGGAACCAGAGCTGGAGCATGAGCCACAGCCTACGCCAGCGCAACAGCAAGACGGAAGCAACAACAGTGGGCGACCCAGACGGAGTGGCGGTGGGTGGTTCTGGAATTGATTGAACCCGAGGGGGCAATCAGTGTGAAGTCAAGCATGATATCATGGCACTCCTTCTCACTCTCAAAGGAAACTGAGGTTTGTAAGAGGCTTCCAACACAGACTGCGACTCTGACCTTCTTCCTCTGGTGCACTGCTTCAATTCAAAGAATTCCCTTCTTCTCGGAATGCTGTCACACGGGATGGTTTTGATATTGACGTTGACTACTGATTTGGATGGGTGAATGAATGAGTAAATGAATTAACGGTTGTATATGCATATAGTTTGTTTAGTTGGTTGATCGATTGATTGGACATACTCCTCTCCGTCTATCTTGAATGGGCAATAGTCTATCATCCCTACGAGATACTTAGCACCACACCTATCTATATTCCACCTTCCGCTCTCTCTCTCTCTCTCTCTGTTCCTCTCTTCTACTCTCCCTCTCCCGGCACATATTTTTCCACGGAATATATGTAGGAGTCGTAATGCGCAATCAAGAGACGAAAACCGGGTCGTAAGACGAGGAAAAGCCTGGCGAGCCTGCCCCGTCCCTACATGCATAAGAGCCCTTAACGTCCCCTCTCAACTAGGTAGGTACTTGGGCACCCTATGTATGTAGGTACTTATGGGCTGGTTGGCTGGCCATAAGGTACGTAGGGTGCTAGGTACGACTTTGCTAGGTATCCCAGGGTAGGCCTGGCTGGCTGGTTAGGTTGGATAGGTATATACATCAATACATACCTAGGTATTGTATGTACAGTACGTACCGAGGACACCGGGTCCTTGAGATACCACTCCCTACAGCAATCACCTACGTACTCGTTATGGATTATACGAGGTAGATAAAATCCCGAAGACGTCGACGATTGTCCTCGACATCTCATTCAGCGGCCATGGCCCGCTGTATCATATCATATCATGTCCATGTCCATGTCCATTTCCGTCCGGGGGAATTCACCGGTACGGGCACGTCGTATGTAGGTGTATATATATAGCAATGAGCTATAAATAAATCACATACCGGGACGATGCATTCCGGCGAAGAAAGCCACCTGCAGGTCGGAGACCGGGAGGAATTTGCAGTATCTGCTCTCGTTGGCGTGTTTTATCTTCTTGTATCAAGTCAATCTTTGCCATTCACTGTCTCTACCTCCGCTACTGCAAAAGTCTTCCTGAGTCATGCTGTGCTACATACCTACATAGGTATGCTATGCTGCCCGATACCATGCCATGCCATGCACCGCTATGTACGTAAATTTCAGGCAAGAATAGAAGTGATAAGGCAGCCAAACAGAAAGAAATCCAGCAAACAAGCAACATGGAGGCATTCACGCGCGGGATTCCTGGCGGAAATATGTCGATCCAGTCCCCAATGCCGTTGTTGCTGCTGCACAGTTCCCAAACCAAGTTGTCGAATATCCTTGGAACGATCAAATCGAAACAAGACACGTCGCTGTGGCGCCAGAACAAAACTCGCTCAGCCATGCGATGCGCTGCTCGAAATACAGAAAGAATAGAGTCAAACCCACAAACTCCATAGACATGAAATCATCCGAAGTCGTCCAACTTCCCAATGCCTGGCATATCGCTCTTCCTCACTCGTTCATCATATCATTCTCGTATTGCATCATGCTTCAAATCGACTCACCACGATCCCGACTCAAACAATCAACAGTCGTGTCTCATCAGCCAAAGGTGTCTGCCGTCATTCCCTCTTCATGCACTTGGCTTTAGCCTGGCTTCAAGTGGTTTCCTCATAGGTCGACTAGAAAACATCGTCAGGCCATTCCCAGTTCTCCTTTTGCATTACCTGCATCTGCATCGTGGCAACGTGATTGATCTTCATCCCCTTAATGCCCACAGCTTCATTCCCGGGCTTCATCTCTGATGCTAATTTTGGGAGAGCCATATCATTCGTCGGGCGTTGGTTTTCTTTCCGTGCCTGTACTGTCCCGGTTTCCTCGTCTTCTTCGAGAATGGCAGAGAATGGATGCGAAAACCCCTCTCCCCGGACAACAGACGGACGTCGGCGCTGCTTCTGTACATTGTGCTTTGGCTGGTCATTGGTACCTGAAGTTGGCATTACACCCGAATTGCCATTTCCCCTGTTCTTAGCGTGGTCCTGATTTGTGGTGTTGCTCAATGTCTTCAATGCTGCACGCTCCGGCAATGCTGGGACAGGGGGGACTGCTGTCACAGATTGTTTTCGGCTCTGTTTCTTTGCGGAGGCTTTGGGAGTGGAGCCATCATCCTCGTGGACTGCTCCAGGAGTCAGGGGATGCTGCAGGGAAGCCGATGCTGTTGGCTGGGGAGTCTTCTCTTGCTGCCTCTGTCTCAATAAAGCTCGAAGTTGTTGATTCTCCTTCTCCAGTTCCCGACGAGTTGGTCGTTTATGATGATCGAGATCTCTATGCCCATCAGACCACTCAGAGTCAGAGGCGTTCAATTTTGATGGAGATTGACTGAGAATTCTGCTATGGTTTGATGTTGGCTTGCCCTGCGATTGGTTGCGAGTCGCGGCTAACATCTCTTGTGAAATTTCATCGCCAGTTGTTGCTGTAGCTAGGCCCACGTTGGACTTCCTCCTCTTCATGCCAAATTGTTGGGCGTATGCTTCCTCTGCGCGTCTCTTTCGATCATTGAGGACCTCAAGGTCGTTGCCGTGATTCGATGCCGTAGATTTCTTTTCTGGACTTCCTGACCCGTCTATTGTCTTCTTCTTGTCACCATGGAGGTTCCAGAGCGACATGCTTTTCCTCAGGCCATTCTTTTTCTTTGCCGTTGGTTCTCCTTCGTCCCTAGTTGTGTTCTCTTTTGGCTTGGCTTTGGCTCCAAACTTGAAAAGACGTTGCTTGAGGGTCGGGGCAATCGCGGTTTCTGGTTTGAACTCGTTCAAATCGATAGAGGATCGCTGTGGTGACGCCCGTGGGGTAGAGTCATCCCCTGATTCAGCTTCAGAGCAACTGGTGATTGAACTATTCTCGTGCCATGTAGAAGACACTCCAGCAGACCGGGCATTCATACTCCCCTCTGCAAACTTTGACGGTCGTGTAGGTTCATCTCCATGTCCAAAGCCGGAATTGGCATTTTCGATTGTCAAGTGCGAGGGATCAAATGTTGGCCCTCGACTAGTTTTTGGTCTCTCGTTCACATCCACCAAACCAGCCAGGGGAGCAAATGGACGCAGTTCCCTCAGTTGTTTGCTAGGTTGCAAAATCGGACTCTGTGAACTGGGCGGTTGTAAAAAGAAGACATCGTCTGTCAAGGGTATAGTTGCTCTGGAAGGTGATGGTCTACTCCAGGCCTCCCGCTCTTCCTTGATAAAGTATGGCTCATTGTGGGTGTTGTTGAACGTCTTCAATATCGGGTCTCTATTTTCCCACGTTGGACTCGACCTGGTATTACTTCTCGGGGATTGAGTTTCGCGGAACGAGACACGTAAACTGGAAACATGTTGCAGCTCTGATGATCTCTTGGGGCTCGCGGACGCGCTTCGAGGAGGAGATGCGGTCTGGTCACTCAACGTCCGTACATGTGCTTGGAACCTCTGTCGAGGTGATAGCGAAGGAGAAGACGCCGTTTCTGAGGGATTGGGACACGAGTCGTGGGAGAGGTGCGCAGGTGCCGGAGCCCGGGATGGAGCCATCATTGACTGCGTCTGTGATAAGAGATGGGCGAACTCGAGACGATTCATGGTGATGCAGTACCGATTATGCCATTACAATTATTGCTAATAGTGCAGAGACCATGCAAAAATAACACCCGTCAGCCGCTCACTGACCTGTACAAAGAAGATAATGGTTGAGTATTGGTGAAGTGAGAATTGACTGGTTTGTTTACAGTTGCCACGACACACTCCACGCAACATGCACCATGCGGCATGCACCAGGGGACATTTGGGACATTTGGGAAATTGGTGGGGCGTTGATTGGCACTGACGGGTGCCGAGACCAAGCACCACCAGGCACTTCACGCAGCTTGTCAGCTCCCGACTGGTGGCGCTGGTGGGTGACTGGGGATGATTCCTTGGGGATCGACCGCCCGCAGCATCATCGCTCAAGCCCTATGAGGTCAATTGCGGCACCCCAAAGCACCAAAAGTAAACTTTGTTTGGGTGGGAACAAGCCTTCTCTGTTTTCGGTAGGTGACCATCTAACAAACCTGGGAGGCATACGAGTCCATATAAGCCCGACAGACCCGAGGATCCTTCAGCTTTAATTCGCCCCCAGGGCCTAGGCCTTGGACCACTTAATTCAGCAGCTTCCCTCCCCCTCTCCTCCGCCCTCGTGGGGGCTAAAACTGGCCATCCCCATTGCATGATCACCCTGCAACTATTCGGTGCAAGGGCTCCCAAAGTACTCCTCCCACATGGCCGCCATGAAGTAATCATCTATGGCTTTCGGGGATTGTCCATCTGTGCATGCGACTTGTCCGACTTGTAATTCTGTCCTCCCTCCACCGCGACTCGACTCGTGCTTACCGGATACTTAATTATCATCTCACGCCGACTGTGTTGCGAGTTCAAGTGGCACTTACTCCTCTGCGCTCTAGAGGATGAGATTCCGGTTGTCCAGATACTGGAACAAGAATGATCATGCTCAGGCGAGCAACTGCTTGAACCTCCTTCCATGACTGCCCTTCTCACCACAAGATGAGTATCATCCTGTACCTCGCGCGAGAAACACTCTGTTCCTGCTGGCATCCTCTATCCACTTGATCACTTGATAGCAATGGTTGGCGTCCCAGGAAAAAGCAAAGGCTGCAGCACCTGTCGCAGGCGCAAAAAGGGTGTAAGTACCGTACACAGTCGCGCCTTGTCAACTCCGCTCATCTTATTCCACTAGTGTGATCAGAAGCGTCCAGTTTGTGGTCAATGTGTCGCAAGTGGCAATGTCTGCGGTGGCTACGATCGCGAACGTACCTTTATTCTGCATCCCGCCAGCAAAAAGGTCGAACATGCCATCTTTGTCGCTCGTACTCGGCCCCCTATCGCTCCTCTTCCGGGCTCAGTCAACCGG